CCCACCTCCCTCAGCATCAGCAGCCAGCTGTGCTCCGAGTCTGCCCTGGCATCGCCCCGAGCTGTCCCGGGGGTCGCACGCCCTCGGTGGCATCCGCTAGAGGAGCTGCGCTGCAGCTGGAAGGTCTCCCCTGCTCCGTCCTTGCAGCCCAGCAGCCTTCCCCGTGGGCTGATCCTGTGGCTTGTCCTCCCCAGAGCCTACTCCTTCCATGTAAGCGCGGACGGCCAGATGCAGCCGGTGCCCTTTCCCCACGACGCCCTGGCCGGCCCCGGCATCCCGCGGCATGCCCGGCAGATCAACACGCTGAGCCACGGCGAGGTGGTGTGTGCCGTGACCATTAGCAACCCCACCCGGCACGTGTACACCGGCGGGAAGGGGTGTGTGAAGATCTGGGATATCAGCCAGCCTGGCAGCAAGAGTCCCATCTCGCAGCTGGATTGCCTGGTAAGTCGGAGGCCGGTGGTGGTGTGGGCGTGGGCTAAGCAGACAACTGTCCCCGGCGGGTTCGAGAAGTGCCCCGGTAACGGCCAGGCCGTCTCTGACTCCCGCAGAACAGAGATAACTACATCCGCTCCTGCAAGCTGCTGCCCGACGGGCGCACGCTGATCGTGGGAGGGGAGGCCAGCACACTGACCATCTGGGACCTGGCCTCCCCGACGCCGCGCATCAAGGCCGAACTGACCTCCTCCGCTCCAGCCTGCTACGCCCTGGCCATCAGCCCCGACGCCAAGGTCTGCTTCTCCTGCTGCAGCGACGGCAACATCGCTGTGTGGGATCTCCACAACCAGACGCTAGTCAGGTGAGGCTCGGGACCCTCGGTTGTGGTTGAGTCCCCCGGGGTGATTGGTGGTTTGGACAGGGCTGGGGTTGGATTAGATGTGACCTCTGGAGGTCCCTCCAGCCCTACTTGTCTCTGACTCTATGGAAGTGCAGGTGGTGGAGAGGGGAAGTCGGTGCCATCTCTACTGCGGGCACGGCATTCAGCACGTGAGGAAGCCCAGTCTCGGGGCAAGGGGAGGGGTCGGTACATGGGTGGATCTAGACTTCTGAAAAGGCGGTGCAGATGGCCAAGTGTATTATCACATTAAAAACAGCCTTTTTTCTCCAGTTAAGAACCAACTAGAAGCTTTCCTAATAGGCCAGAGACCTAGGACTGGGCAACTCGGTTTCAGATCGAAGCGAAAATAAAGACAGGTTTTTACTGGAATGAGTTGAAAGGCTACAGGGCTGTGAAATGGGAGCTTCATGACCAGAAGCAGCTAACTGACAGCAGTGATGCAAGACAGGCTATTTGGATTGCATCAGGACCATTAAAAGAGGGTCATTAACATGTGTGGAGTGAAGAGATTAGCAGGCATCAGCTAGATGACAATAAGCCATGTTGTCAAGTGCCTCCCTCAGCTAGCAGTGCTGCTGCCCCTGCCATGCTGTTGCTTTTAAACTTTGGATGGAGCAGGAAAAAGAGATTTCTGACCCTCTGGCGTGTTGAATTGCTTCTCCTTAGGCAATTCCAAGGGCACACAGATGGCGCGAGTTGCATAGACATCTCGCACGACGGTACAAAATTGTGGACGGGGGGGCTGGACAACACCGTGCGTTCCTGGGACCTGAGGGAAGGAAGGCAGCTCCAGCAGCACGACTTTACTTCCCAGGTGAGCCCCGGGGGTCTCAGGGTCCCCAGAGGAGGGGAGACCACCCCAGTCTGGGCTGTGGAGGAGCTCATCTATTTGCTGGGGCATCTGAGAGCGGGTTATTTCCTGGAGGAGGGTTGATCCTGGAAGAAGGTGGATCTCAGCAGTGGTCAGTGTCAGGTGGCATCACTGGCACATGCTGGCGTTCGCTGCTCGGTCTGTGTCTGTGTATTGGATGGCATCTCTCGGGCACCAGCCAGCCCGGGGCTGGATGCTGCTTGATACAGCCAGAGCCCTTGTCTTCCTGCTTGACCTGTGACAAGTTCAAGGGTGTTTGGATGTCTTGGGCATTGTGCCTGGCAGTTGTATGTGAGGGTTTGTTTCCAAAATGTTTAAGAGAAGGTTGGACAGATGTGGCTGCGATAGTTTAGACCGGGATGACCCTGTTGGGGGCTGGGCTAGATCATAGACTGGTAGAAAATAAGGGTTGGAAGGGACCTCGGGAGGTCACACCTAGTCCAACCCCCTGCTCAAAGCAGGACCAGCTCCAACTACATCATCCCAGCCAAGGCTTTGTCTACCCGGGTCTTAACCCCGCAAGGATGGAGACTGCACCACTTCTCTGGGTAACCTGTTCCAGTGCTTTACTACATTCCTCATGAGGGAGTTTTTCCTAATATTCAACCTCAACTTCCCTTGCTGCAGCTTGAGCCCATTGCTCCTTGTCCTGTATCTGCCCCCACTGAGGACAGTTCAGCTCCATTCTCTTTGCACCTCTGTGCAGGGAGGTGAAGGCTGCTATTCAATCCCCCTCGGTCTTCTCTTCTCCAGCCTGAATCAACCCATTTCCCTTGGCCTCTCCTCACCAGTCCTGTCCTCCAGCCCCACAGCCACTTTCGTTGCCCTCCACTGGACTCTCTCCATTGTGTCCACATCCTTTCTGCAGTGGGGGGGGGCCACAGCTGGACACAGCACTCCAGATGTGGCCTCCCCAGTGCTGAATAGAGGGGAAGGACCACTGCCCTCCATCTGCTGGCAACGCTCCTACCAGTGCAGCCCAGGATGCCCTTAGCCTTCTTGGCACCAAGGGCACACTGCCGGCTCATATTCAGTTCATTGTCCCCTGTCCCCCCCAGGTGCTTTCCTGCAGAGTTGCTGCCCAGCCCGTCACCCCCAGCCTGCACCGGTGCAGGGAATTGTTCCGTCCCAAGTGCAGGACTTTGCACTCATCCTTGTTGAACCTCATGAGATTTCTTTTGGCCCAATCCTCTAATTTGTCCAGGTCACTCTAGATGTAACGTCGCGGGCTCCACCAGCCAGATGGCTCTGATTTTATAAGTGAAGGCTTTTTAGGGACCAGTGGAGCTCAGAGTCATTGCCAACAGAGCGTTGTGGCCTTGGGGAAGCATTTTGGGGGTCAGGGGTGCCTAGACACCAGCCCTTGCTGTGACCGCAATAGGTGTTAGTCTCACTCTTGTTGCCTTCCTCAGCCAAAGTCTGACTTTGCATCATAAGCCCAGCCCAGGTGGGGAATCTTGCATTGCTTCTGCCTTGTGGCACCTGCTGCCGGGGTAAATCAATAGCTCTGGTCCCCAGGCTCTTTTGGCACGGTGGGAACAGCAGGCCGGGCCAGAGAGCCGTTTGGCCGGCGCGGAGGTTGACTCCCAGGCTCTAACGACCTTCTGCGCCTTCCTTCAGATCTTCTCGCTGGGCTACTGCCCAACCGGGGAGTGGCTGGCAGTGGGCATGGAAAGCAGCAACGTGGAGGTGCTGCACCACACCAAGCCGGACAAGTACCAGCTGCACCTGCACGAGAGCTGCGTCCTGTCGCTGAAATTCGCCTACTGTGGTAAGTCCCTGCCGGGTCGCTCCCTTGTCGAGGGAGCCGGCGTGAAGCGCTAACTGGCGTGGCAGAAAACTGCATTTAATCAACGCACTGTCAGAGCAGAGGGAAAGCTTGTCAGCAAAAGCCATGGAGGGAGGTGGGGGGGCGGGGGGATCTCACCAGCCCTGGGGGTTTCTCTTCGGCGCTGTCCTCAAAAGCGACCCGGGTCCTGTCGGGCAGAGCGAGGGGCCGGGATATGTCGGTGTCAACGTTATTGAATCGGCGGATGGAAAAGCGCTGCCGCTGACAAAACAGCCCTTTGTTCGCCGGCATCCTTCGGCAGACAGCAGAGGCAATGAGGCATAAGCGCAGGCCGGGGTCACGGCACATCCTTTCACCGCCGGTTACTGTTCGTTTATCAGAGCTGGCTCGTGCAGAAGCCAAAGGTGGGGCCGTCTGACCTTGCCGGCTGCTCCCGGATCCGTCTCCCACGTCCCCCTCGGGAGCAGACAGGCCGGTCAGGGGGCCTTGCTCTGCGAGCTGTCTTTTTTTCTTTGGGAGAGGAACCAAGTTTGTGGCTGCCCTGTTGTCGGTGGCCAGAGAGAAAGTGATCCCCCATTTGTGTGTCTAGGTAAATGGTTTGTGAGTACGGGGAAAGACAACCTGCTCAATGCCTGGAGAACTCCCTATGGGGCCAGCATCTTCCAGGTAAGGGGCTGCTCCGCTTTGGACCAGGGTGGGGTTGGGAATAGCTCGGCCATCTCCCAGCTGGAGGCTTTGCACCATCCTTGTGGTGAGGAAGCTACCCGGGCACCTCCCCAGCTAGGAGAAATGGGGCTGATGGATGCTCTCGCTCTTCATCGTGCAGCGGTGATGCTGCCGGGGGGAGGAAAGGATGTCGGGGTGGTGTCCAATGCCTTCTGTTTAAAACGCACCCAACACCTCGGTCCGAAGTCGGCGAACGTCGGCCACCAGCAAGCCAACGTCCATCGGGTGCCTCTAGAACAGGCCATTTATCCCAGCTGGCTTATAAATAACAGCGCCGCTGTCGCCACCGAGCTTTTCCGCTTACTCAAATGCGGTTGCAACAGCACTGAGACACCAAACTGATTTTTTTTTTTTTTGTCTATTTATTCATTCCTCCCCCCCACAGTCGAAAGAATCCTCATCTGTCTTGAGTTGTGACATTTCAGCAGATGACAAATACATTGTAACAGGCTCTGGTGACAAGAAGGCCACAGTCTATGAGGTCATCTATTAAACACGGATTTTAACGGGGCTGTCAACTCCGAAGATCAGGCTGCAGCCTGACAACACAATGGCGAGGCTCTGAAGGATGGAGGGGAAATGAAAGCCGACCAGCCATGCATTGAGACATTGTTTTCTGCTGGGCGGTGTACCACGGGTCCCTGAAGCCTTGGAGAGGATGCATTTAAGGCCGGGTCTATACTACGGAGGGACTGATGATGTATGGATTGCTTTGAAGGCCTGCAAAGATGCACACATCAGAGCCCTAAAGTGATTCTGGTTTGGTTTGGGGGCTTGGTTTTCCCCACCCCCACCCCTTTATTTTATTTTTATTTTTTTTGGTTCTTTTGTCTGCGCTTTGGTGGCACTATAAAGGACTTATTTTTTATCGTGACTTTTTTTTTTTCCTTCTTTTTTGGTGCACGCTGCATAAGACTTGTGAAAAGTGTAAATAAAGGACTCGTACCTAGAATCGGAAGGGTGGGGGAATCCTCCTGGTACACTAGTTGTGTATTTTTTTTTATTTTATTTTTTTTTTGTCTGCTGTAATTGTATTCCACTGATGGTTTGGTGGTGGCAAAGTTCCCCTTCTCCCCCCATCCCCTCCCAGCCCTCACCTCCCCATTTGGGGCACTTCTTTGACATGCAGCTTGTAACCAGGTTGAGCAAAGATGTCCACTGGTGAAGTTGTTCCTACTGTTGTATATGTGAATTGTCCAGCGTGTTAGTCCCATGTTTGAACACTGTACGGACTGAAGTCAAATTGGTCAGATCTTCAGCTACTGATGTGACATCAGCAAAAACAATCACGTTTTTATATGGATTTTTTTTTTTTTTTTTTTTTTTTGTGCTCATATGTTTGAAGAAAACGGGAAGTCCACCTTCTGCAATGCTTCTGCTCAAGCCCTTCTTGATCTTTGGACATAAACAACGAGGAATAATTTCAAAGAAAGCATAGTAAAAAAAACAAAAACAAAAAAAAAAACAGCTCAGGGAGCCATGAAAGATAATAGCAACTTAAGTGTTTTGTATTCAAATGAAAGTAAAAAATTAGAATTGATAACCTTTAAAATACATTTTTTTTTTTTTTTTAAAGTTTACTAACCGGTAGGGTTTGTGTGTGGTGGGGGAAGGGGTGGGGGGCTGTCTCTGGTAGGGCTCTGTGGCTTTTACGGTCTTGTGACTTCTGGCGTATAGGTTTCAACGAAGCAAAACCCATCCCCACACAGGCCTGCGTTTCAGCGTTTTGTACTAAAGGGTAAAAATGAATAAATAATGGAAAATAAAAAGTATTTGTGTAGCAGACGTGCTCACCCTGTATTGTAGCATACGGAAGAGAATTTTTATACTACATTTTTATGGATTATTTTTTAATTTTTGATTTTAATCTGGTCAAAAGATAATTAGGGTTAAGGTGAAGAAAGAAGAAAAAAAAACAACTACCTGTTTTAAATGCATTGATAATACAAAAGGATGATAATGTAGAGATGCTCTTTACCTTTCTGTTCTTGGATGCGTGTTCAGCATCAAGGCAGTATCCCAAGTTCTCCGCGGTACCCTCCAGCTGTGGCAATGGTTTGGGATGGAGTAGACGAGAGGTGAAAATCAATTTTATGAGATTTTCTTTTCGGTGTTTAAGATGTGATGGGGGTTTTTTTTTTGCTCAAGACTCGAGTGAGGGAAACCTCAAAGGCAAAAGCATGCACCTGACCTGACTGGGAAATAGGCGCCTGTGATTCTGAGACCCTCGCTCTGTAGCACGAAAGCTTGGGCCTTGATTTACCGTGTGCATGATGTATTGGAAAAGAGCTGGCCTAGGAAAACCTGCATTGTTGGGTTTGGTTTTGTGTTTTTGGAGGGCGGTTATGTCGAGAAAAATGACTGTGAAACCAACACCATCCCCGGTGGATGCGCAGATGCAGTCAGAGCTGCTTAGTTTAATGACTGCAGCGTTTGACTGCTTCTGGCTCTGCGCTGACCTGGCTGCTTTGAATAACCAGCTTATCAACACAACGATGAGCCACGGCCGGGTTTGCATGGGAAGAGCTTTTTCCAGTCCACACTCAGGGCTGCAGCAGAGACTGCCGTATCAGCCGGGGATTTGTGATGCTTCCCACCCTAGACTCACCCCCAGGAGCCTTCCTGGGCATCCGGTCTGAATTGGTTGTGGGTGGTATATAATCTCCTAGCTTTTAAACATGCATGCAGAAGCCCATGAGAAACAGCCCCCACGGGGGTCCCACAAATACCCCTTTTGCGGTCATTTTTCAGAGTAGTAACCCACCCCAGATGACTAACATGCCGGGGATGGCACAGGTTCAGACGGCTGTGAACTTTGCAATGGGGGAGCTCCCACTCTCACGCGCTGATGTCCCGAGCGGTTTCTTGGTTGCACGCTGGTGCTTTTCTAAAAAATACATAAATAAAGCAAAAAGTAAAAAAAAAAAAAAAGCCAAGCCCTGCCTGGCGCTGGGTCGGCGGAGGGGTTTACCAAGTCATCCGGTCTCAACATTACACCAAAGTATGTAGCAGAGTATGTACAGCTGTTAATACCGACAACTGGTTTTGTATTAAAAAGAGGGGAAAAAAGAGAGACAAAAATGAGGGTGGGGTGGGGGGCGGGGAATAAAAAGAATAAAAACTTAAATGTAATGAAGTGCAAATGAAAGCAAAGTGTCCATAAAGCATTTGGTCTATGAAAAACCTGCACTGAGTTGTTAATAAAAGCAAACAAGCAAACCGGCTGCCCATCGTTGTTCTTGTGGGAACGTGCCTGGCCCTTTTGGCACCAGCAGCTCGGGCTTTGGCAGCTCTGTTTTCTGCTCGGGGCTGCGGAGCCTGGAAAGCTGCTGTTCAGGATGAGGCTTGTGGACGCTCGGAAGCAGGCCCCGGGTGCCGACAGAGAGACTGTGTGCCGGTGGAGAGATGGCGTGCCCGCGTGCTGGTGGAGAGACGGTGTGCCAGTGGAGAGATGGCATGCCCAGGTGCCGATGGAGAGATGGCGTGTCCGTGTGCTGATGGAGACACAGTGTGCTGGTGGAGAGATGGCGTGCCCGCGTGCCGATGGGGAGACAGTGTGCTGGTGGAGAGATGGCATGCCCAGGTGCTGATGGAGAGATGGCGTGCCTGCGTGCCGATGGAGACACAGTGTGCGGGTGGAGAGATGGCGTGCCCGCGTGCCAGTGGAGACACAGTGTGCTGGTGGAGAGATGGCGTGCCCGCGTGCCAGTGGAGACACAGTGTGCTGGTGGAGAGATGGCGTGCCCGCGTGCCAGTGGAGAGATGGCGTGCCCGCGTGCCGATGGAGACACAGTGTGCTGGTGGAGAGATGGCATTGCATGACAGCCAAGTCCTGTTCAAGCACGGCAGAGAGGTGCTCGGTTCACGTGGCAGCCGGCGGCGAGCACCCTTTGGGCTTGTGGGGAAGCACCCAGCCAAGGTGAAGAGCATGCTGTCAGCTCCCAATGCCTCCTGATGGGCTCCTGGTCTCCGGAGACTTGTGGATTATTTTCCTTCTCCCAAGGTGACTTTGCAGGTAATGGGTGCGACAGCTCGGCATGCAGACATGGAAACGACGTCTGCAGGAAGTCGGCTGTAAAAGCCCCGCAAAAGCAGAAGCTATTAGAGCAGCTAAATTAGGCACCGAAGTGCCACCACCAGCGTTTTACTTCTGCCTTTTTTCCCTGTGACCAGATGTTTGTAACGTGGCTGATTCCACACGTACGTCGGGAGCACGCGCTGCCCGAGCCAAGCGATTCTGTGCCGGGCTTGCTGCTACCACTGGGCGAGTTCAGCCTGGCGTTGGACACCTCTTCCTACCTGCAGACAAAGCGAGTGGAGAAGTACCGTGGATCGCTGTAACCCCACGCTTGGTGGAGACTGAGCATGGGGTTCAATATTAGGGTTCGGCGACCCTAGGACACGAATGCCAATGTCTGCAGGGCACGTGGCAACACTCATCTGTGCAAGACGGGAGCTCAAGGCAGGTGTTGCATTGGCACGAGCATGGGCTGAGCTACCGTGAGCTCCTGTTTGCTCCCCGTACCCATTGGATCTATAATTAAGCTGAAAGTGGCTGAAAGCAAAAAGTGACTCGTGGGCCTGGAAGAGAAGGGCCAACTGATACAGGCTCTGTTGCACCCTGAGCAAGGTTGGTGAGCAAGGCCCCTGTTCAAGTGGAGCCATGCCCCGTGCGGGGAGAGGGAGTCTTCAGGCACCGCCGGCAGCGGATAGGGGGAACCTTGTTGCACCCCTGTTTCACGAGGGGTTGGCAGGGGCTCGGTCTTGCATGCAACGCAGACGTTGAGCGTGCCACTGCTTTCCGAGCAGGCCACCCCTGACAGAGACAAAGCATTTCCCTTGCACTAGGACATATGTAACATCCTACAGGGGTTTCCCCAGTGATGTATTGAACATGACAGAGCCTGCTGCGAGGGAGAAATAAAAAGCAGGAACAGCACTCTAACGGCTTGGCTCGCCGATAATGTACGGCGGTAAATGGTGATGAGTGCATTTAAAGCTGCTTTCCTTTTTTTAAGTGGCCTGGACTGAGGCACTTCTGTGCGGGACCATTAAAAGATAAAAATTGTGAGAAACCCTTTGTTGTAAAATAAAAAACGTGGA